ATATACGAGTTTTTATTTGGAAATAATCAATACTTACTGAGTTATATTCTGAAAATAAACGTTCCAAATGTCAACAAATTAAATTAAAAGTGAAAATAAAAAAAATAAAATACGGATTTAAATTGACTAACTCTAAGGAATTTTTTTATTTTCTGAATTGAAGAAATCGTTTTCTGTCGCACAAGAGTTTCCTCTATTCACTTTATTTCAGGATTAAATTCTTCTTACTCCAAAATATATTATCAACACTGTAAGATTTTTTATGATCTTATTATAATTAGAAGTGCAAAAGGTAATAATTGTATAAAAATGCTTTATTTTGGTTCAGTTCCTTGATTTTCAAAATAATACAAATTCAATGTTTACTTGTTGCATCGAATTGAAACTAAACCAGTTATGGTAAATTAGTGACATAAGATGTATTTCTTATAGACGAGTTTTTATTTGGAAATAATCAATACTTACCGAGTTACATTCTGAAAATAGACGTGAAGAATGTCAACAAATTAAATTGAAAGAGAAAAGAGAAAAATAAAATACGGATTTAAATTGACTAACTCTAAGGAATTTCTTACTTTCTGAACTAAAGTAATCGTTTTCTGTCGCAAAAGGGTTTTCTCAATTCACTTCATTTCGGGAATAAATTCTTCTTACTTCAGAATATATTATCAACACTCTAAGATTTTTTATGTTCTTATCGTAATTAGAAGTGCACAAAGATAATAACTGTTTTTGTTTAAAAATGCTTTATTTTGGCTGAGTGTTTTTGACTTTAAACTTTAGCGAATTCATTGTTTACTTTTTTTTATCGAATTGAAACTGATATCAACTACGGTGAATTAATAACGTAACAAGTATTTCTCCCAGACGACTCAAAATATTTCTTCGCTAATAATCAATACTTACCGAGTTGTATTCGGAATAGAGACGTTCGAACTATCAAGATATTGAAATGGAAGCGAAAGCTGAAAAAAAAGCGGCCTAGAAAATAAACTAACTCTAAAGAGTATTTTGTTTTTGGTTAAAATAAATATAAGAAAGGCAAGTAAAATTGGAAATTTAAGGTTAATTCGGAAAATTACTATGTGGAAAACAGAAAGAGACTCACTATTAACCATTATCAGATTTTTACTTTCTTTCTAATTTTTCTACAATATTCGAAATCATTTCTCTCTCCATATCTCTACTTTTTTATGGGACTTATAATAATATAAAAATAGAACTTGCAAGATATAACAAAGTAATCATAATAATTAGGAACGAAATAATATTTTTTTTCAATATTTGTAATTACATGGAGCAATGCTCTTATCTAAATATAGTTCAATCAATTAATATTGGAACCTTAATATTAAAACTTAAAATAAAACTATATTTAAATTATAATACTATTTCTTTCATAAATTTATAGAATAGAAAAAAAACTTCAAAATATATTAATAAGAGTATTCCATAGTATTAGTTTGATTTTATCCCATTTGATAAAAATAACATTAATTGATATAAAATTTCCTTTCGTATTTTTTAAGCAACTGTTTAATCAAATATTAGAAACTAATATTAGAAACTAAAAACTTCAAGTGAACAAGTAATAAAAAATTTCCAAGAAAAGAAAAAATAGTTTCAGTAGCAATTAATTCAAAAAATAGACAGATAGAAAAAATGCAAAAGCCTCTAAAATTAAAAAATAGTCAAAAACTGACAATAGCTGATGATAAATGGCAGTATTTTTACAACTAAACACACGATCGTAAAAACGCGATGTGTGTGGGGAGAGTAGTTACAGACCATGTCAACTTTCATCTATGAAAAGGTACCCCGACATAGAGTCGAGCTAACATGTCTTATATACTAGTGAATTGTAGTTGTAATTTTGTAGTGGTAGATACGCTACAGTACTCCCCACCCAGAATTATATTTGTGATAGAATTCGATGAATGGATACCACAAGTTGAATCATTGCAGTTTTTGTGCGAAGCCGGGAGAGCTGTATTAAGATCACCGTACTTTTTGAGTGCTGAATGTGAGAGGTGTATTAAGTTCACGGTCGTAGTCGCTCCTGTGTTGCCTTTAACAGTCGAGTGTATGCAGGCCGACGATGTGTGCTCGAGACTGAGTAGCAACAGTGCAAGGAGGTGGATAATGTCGCAGTCACAAGTAGCAAGTCAACTTATTCAATATGGACAATCAATTGAAGTAGGCGTTACTGTTAAGATAGGCTTGTTCATTTCAAAGTGGGAGTTTCTTCCAACATAGGCGTGTTCGCATCACGTCCGAAGGTAACCAATGTGGGGAGAGTAGTTACAGACCATGTCAACTTTCATCTATGATAAGGTACCCCGACATAGAGTCGAGTTAACATGTCTTATATACTAGTGAATTGTAGTTGTAATTTTGTAGTGGTAGATACGTTATATGTGAAATTCTCACAAAAGGTTTTTCAATGATTTGTAAATAACAGCAATAATAGTGAGTGGTTTAATTTTAGCCGAATTTTTATCGATTATAGTTCAGGTGTCCTGCAGTGTTAAGACCCCAAACACATTGAAATGTATTTAGGGTCTTAACACTGTATGTAATAATAAAAAAATGCTTTAAAATGAGACAATTTGGAGTAAAATTAATTACAAAACATTTCTTAGAAACTCTTTTTCTTTTAATGAAAAGTAAATAGATTACAATTATTAGAGTTTGTGAACTTTTCAACCAATTTGAAAAGCGTGTTTTTCATAAAGTAGATAATATTCGCAAAAATAACGCGGCTTAAATGTTTCCTAACCTTACACTTCCTTTGGTGTTCTGCTTTTACATCCATCATTTTTCACATGTGCATGCACATTGATTATAAAGAGTAAATTAAAAAAAGCATTGATGATGATTATATAAAAAATGACACTACCAAGGCAAAAATAAACTGCAGATAATTTATTTTAAAAAAATGGAGTTTGAAGACTGTAGTGAATTTGACAATTCTGCTACAGAATTTTTGGGGTCGAAATACTGCAAAATTACTACAGTAATTTTGAAGTAGTACCAACTTCAAAAACTTTACAGTAAATATACAGGGCTAGTAGATTGTTTAGTAGTGCCATCTATCATGAGCGATGGGAAATACCAAATTTTTATCTAAAAAAAAAAGTTTCCTTACTTTGAATCTATTTTAATAAACAAGGACATCAATTTGGGAGTGCAGGCCACTGTAAGCTTTTCACATGTTGAAGGAATGAAAGAAACATTAAGACGTCGTCTCTGGAATTTGAAATCCCATTCTGTCAGTGGCGAAATTGCACAATTAGCCCTCCCGGCTACAGCTTGGTTACGCCACTTATGCTACGAAATGTATGGTTTTAAAAGGTGGGCTTAGTTAGCGTGGATACTATTCTTGTCTGTTTAATCATAATGGTGAAAGTAACTAATAAATGATTTCACTCCATTTCGTTTTCGTCATAACTTTGTGTAAAAGCAACTTTTTTCTTTAAAAATAAGGAAATAATAAATTAATAAAAATAAAATTAGTAATAAAATTACTAAGATGCAAAAATACTTAAATAGCTAAATTTAAGCAGATTTTAAGGCAATTAAATTGTGCAAAAATCTTAGTTCAAAACTTTCAAAGCTTCTAAATTGTAAAATAATTGCAATTATTTAAATTATGTTTTAATGAATTTGTTATATGTAAATGTAGACAGTGTATGTTATCTCCATCCTTAATATATGCTTAAAATCTTTACCTAAACAAGAGAAATTAAGAGTGAGAAATGAATATATATCGAAGAAAATACAAACAAAAATGTTAGGAAAATTTGAAGATTTGTTAAGGAGGAAAGAAAGATTGAAGACAATCTATTCGACTCTCAGACTTTTAATTTTACAACAATACAGACCAACTGCAGTTTTTCTGTAGATACACCAGGAAAAATACTTCTTAAACAATGTAAAATTACTTCAAATTTACCACAGTATAACTACGGATTTAAAGTTTCGTTATTTTTTTTAATTTATGACTTTAAAGTAACTTCGCATTAACTAAAGTAATTTTGTAGAAAACAGCTGGACTTTTTTTTTAAATAAATTACTTAGAAATTACTTCACATTATCTGCAAAATAACTTTTCTACAGAAAGTCTGTTGCTGACTGCAGAATAATTTCAAAACTACTTCAATTCTGCAGTAAAACTGCAGTTTGTTTTTCCTGGGAGTTTTCCTAAATCTTCCATATTTATATAGAAATTATAATTGTAATAGATCAAATCCAAGCAAGGAAGCATTGAAATAAGCAAGCAAAAATGCTTATTAGTGTCTATTATTACTATTAAAATGTAAACTAATTTCGATGCAACTGTGTCGAGTAAAATTACTACTACTACTTCACTGCTAGTCTCGATGTTCAAATACTTTCTTCGGCATCGCATTTCTTCAGTTAAGTAAAGGTATTTTCTGCAAAAAAGTGACATTATTATATCGATAATTTTTTAAGAGCTACTAAATCCTATTTGAAAACTATATGTTATGTATTAAGTTTTTTTTTCAAACTCTAAGGGGGCTCCTCAAGAGAACCCTTAATATGAATTTTTAGATACCTTATCAAAAATGAAAACAAACTTATCAAAATGTATGCACATCGGGGGCCGACAACAAAAGCACTTTCAAAACGTGACAAATTACGGTACAGTAAGGCAGGAGTATAAAACAAGAAAAATTTATCGCTTGGGGAAACAGAAAGGAGTGGATAGACATACAATTAAACCTGTTTTGTTGCTTATAACAGCAGCATTTCTCTGTTGTAATTGCACAAACATCAACAGCATTTTCTCCGTCAGCAAAATATTTATTTTCGATTCACATTAAGTATACTTTTTTGTTTTCAATTTTGAAATGGATTCTAAAAATAAATATTAAGACCGCTTTTTCAAAACACACTGCAGGTATCGATGTCATTGAATTTCAAAAAAGTCAGTTTAACATTTCTCTTTTAATAAAATACATTTCTTTTCTTTCCAGGCGTTTTGCATGCCGTTTTAAAAGACTTTTCCACTCCCTTCTGCTTTTGTGGTTACTGCAAGTAGTCTCTTCTTCAAAGGAAATTCCCGCTCCAAGTAACAACAGAAATGAAGAACCAATTCAAAGGGTTTTTCAAGATTCTCAACCAGATTCTAAAAGAGCTGCACAAAGTTACAGTTTCGGTTTGGGTAAGAAAAACGCAGATTCCTTAAGCCAAGAAAGTGAGTCTATAGAAACAAATGATGTTAATTCCTCTTATCAAGCAGAAGATGACCTTGACGAATCGAAACGTGACACGCATAACTTTGAAAGGTTTGGATTTGGCTTAGGTAAGAGATCAGCCCCCAGTCAGTATGCGTTTGGTCTAGGTAAAAAAGACACTCCATTTCATGAAGATTATGAGAAAAGATATGATGACGGCGAACGATTTGCATTTGGACTTGGTAAGAGAGGGCCACAAGATGAACGTTTTTCATTTGGTTTAGGTAAAAGAGGCCCGGAGGACAGATTTGCATTTGGTTTAGGAAAGCGAGGACCTGAAGATAGATATGCTTTTGGTTTAGGAAAAAGGGGACATGAAGACAGATTTTCATTTGGCTTAGGCAAACGAGCACCTCATGAAGATCGATTTGCATTTGGATTAGGCAAACGAGCACCACATGAGGATCGCTTTGCCTTCGGACTCGGTAAAAGAGGCCCTGAAGACAGATATGCTTTTGGGCTGGGGAAGCGATCAGCTGAAGATAATAGGTTTGCGTTTGGTTTAGGAAAACGTGGTTCTGAAGAGAATCGTTTTGCATTTGGCTTAGGTAAAAGAGGTGAGGGTGAAAACAGATTTGCATTTGGATTAGGAAAAAGAGGCGAGGATGATAATCGATTTGCATTTGGATTAGGAAAACGAGATGATGATCACAATCGGTTTGCATTTGGCCTCGGTAAGAAGAGTGATCGATTTGCCTTTGGACTTGGTAAAAAGAGTGATGAGCATAACCGGTTTGCTTTTGGTCTTGGTAAACGAGATAAAACCGAATCCACCCAAGGGATCGACAAGAGAGAAACCTTTAACGACGACATTGACGAGTATATAAAGAGAAGATTCTCATTCGGTTTAGGCAAGAGATCAGTCGATCCTGCTATGGAGTTCAAAAAAATACCTTAATTTATTTGGGAATCAAAACTAACCAGAAATTTGAAAATTGGCGGTGTACTTTCAGTAGGCTATCGAAAGTGAATGATTGTTCCAAATTTTTAAATGTTTGCATGACGAATATAAGTATTTATAGGGTAAATATAAAATCTGATTATTTGTTAATAAGTGATGCTCTTCTTCAAAAGCTGTGCTCAAACATAAAAATTGCGTATAGTTTGTTGATGAATTCGGTAAAAATTATGAAACAAATTCATGTAATATCGACATATAAGTATTTATATATATATGTCTAACATGCACGTGGAAATATTATATTAACTCTTACATTAAATATTTTACTGAAAATTTTTACATGAAATGAAAAATCGAAAAGAACAGTTTGTAAACATAACTCTTGCGTATTTTACGTATTTTTATCATAACTTCTATGTTCCATTCATTAATAATTTCTTTATTATTTTTTGAAAGTATTGTTATTGAATTCGAGGTATATGTTGAGTTTTAAGCATACCTCTGAATTTGTGATATTTTTTGTATTATTGATTTGGTATTTTATATGTAATATATTTTTGAGATATTTTTATTTGTAGTTTCTGTTTTAATTTTTTTATTTAATTATTCTTGTTAATTGCATATGACTGTATTAAAATATTATATGCAAAAACGACTTATGCACTTTAGCATTTTCATTTTTGTATATTATTTCCATTTATTCATATTTTTGTCTACTATTTTAATGATGTATTATTATTATGATAAATGTGTACATAATATCTCTAGTGCAATTTTTTTTGTTTCATTAAAAACATACATACTGAAAAATGTTATCTTTGTTATCACATACTTGAATGTTTGATTATTTATTTATTTGAATGATGTTTAGTGAATGTTATCATTTTCATCATTTTCATTTAGAAAACTGAAGAAAATTGTACAAAGTATACAAATTAAAATCTATTAGCAGTAAATTTTTGTAATCAAAATCAATAAATATTTATTTAATAACATATGTACTTGTTATGAAGTAAACTCTGAAAAGTCATCATTTATTATCAATAAAATATTGATTCAATGCGAGACACTTTTTAGATATCCTTTCTGAGGAAACTTTGAAATATTCTAGATTTATTTTGATTATTACTACAATATTAATATAAATGATCTTTACTATAAATGATTATTACTACGATAATTTGCTTAGTATCAGTAGTATGGTATTGGAAATGCTAGAGCTTGGGATTCCGTCAAAACATTATGTTTGCTATTTGTCAATTTCAAAAATGAATGCTACACTAAAAATGATTAACTACGAATTACAAGAAATGATTGTAACTAAAAAGGATCATTACTACTATAGATTATTTGTAACAGTAGTATGGCATTGGGAATACTAAAGCTTATGTTTGTTTGTTTGTTGTCGAATCCGAAATTGATTGATACTCTACATCTACTTAACTACAAAATACTACACATGAATATTACTATGAAATTACTACAAATGATTATTATCAAAAATTATTATTTCTAGCATAGATTGCTAAGCAACAGTGGTATGGCATTGGGAATACTACATCTTAAGTACTACATCTACATTACGTTCGGATATAATATTACGTTTGTTTATTGACGAATCCAAAATTTAATGATACAACACAAATGCTTGACTACAAATTACTAGAAATGATTAACACTGCAATATTACTACACATAATTATCACTATATCAATTGTGTACTATCAATGTTATGGAATTAGATATACCAAAACTTAAGTGAACTTAATGTGAAATGAAATCTCAGCAAATGAAAGAAAAAATACTAGCTACATTTTAAATAATGCAAGTATTAGCTGTCCCGCAGTGGACTGATCGTTAAGACCAGATCACCGAAGTCAAGCATCACTGGCTACGGTCAGTGTGCGGGTGAGTGACCAATTGAATCAGTCCGTGTAGGGACCGAGGGTGTGCGGCATTGGTCCTCGTTAAACTGTTCTACCGTAAAGTGCTCGACTTCGCGTGCAGGTCGTCGGGCTACCGAAGCGGGGTCGCCATCCCCTCTGCAGAAGATCAAAATTGTGATGGCATGTCTTCGGATCATCCTCAGGGGTGTTTCCCAGATCGTCGCCAGTAGCTCATCGTGCAGCTCTAGTGCAACGTAAATTAACTACAACAACAACAACAGCAAATATTAGCTATGCTAAGCATACTATAAAGTTATTACTCATAGTTATGAAAAAACAATGCTTATTGCATGAAAATAGCAATTATTGATAGATATTAAAGTAAATAATAGTCATAATAAGAGTCATAAGTTTGTACAGGATTAGGCCATTAGTTTCAAAAGGGGTGGCTTAGGTCCGAATCTGAGTTGCTGCTGCTTGATACGAATTCTGCTCCTATCTAGTACCGATCACATGCAGACGTAAAATATTTCTAATGGTAGAGCATGGGTTATTCCTAATGGAGCATGGGTTTGAAACAAATTACCGTTTGGCTAACCATGGAAGGTTTCCAGGGTATTCCTCTTCATGTAATGCAAATGCGAGTTAGTTCCATCAAAAAGTCTTCTATTAAGGCTAGTTTGTCTTACTGCATGTACCAGAATTTTCCTCGTCTTTTTGGTCGGGTACAAAATTACGAGGCAGCAGATTTGAACTTTAATAGTGGTTAACTCAGAATTGGGTCTGCTGTTCAACGCCGATTATAAAATAAAATAGTCATAAATATCATTAAATTAAATAATTTTTAAAGTGTCTTAAAGAATTTCAGTGTTAAATCAATAAAATCTTTATTCCCTCAAATCTTTAAAACTGCCACTTTAATTTTTTAAATGTTCATTTTAGAAGGAAAGTTTTTCGTTTACTGCAAAAGAAACTTCAGTCCTCCAGTACATATTTTTTTCAGCTTCAGCAAAAATTTATTTACATTTGACAATATTTTGAATCGAATACAATCGGAAAAATAAATCCAAACCAGTACGGAAAGTTAAGCACATTTATTAAGGTACTTCAAGCATACAAGGAACAAGGCAACTGGCATTTCCGCTTGACACGCATGAGCTTATATGGAACTAAATATGGAATAAGAAAAGAGGTAATGGAACGCTCTAGAAATTTTAAATAACACAAATACATTTTCTTTGAGCAGTGGGGATCAATCTCGGTGTCTAGATATAAACAGCATCTAGAAGTAGACAACGTTTACATTTATTGAGAAAAGGATTAAATGATAGAATATAAATTTAATGAAATTAAAAAGCTAAGAAATATCCGATACTTGTATTGGCATGCAGCATGACTGTATCTCATACCACGTCTCAAAGCAATGCTCTTTCTAAGACTGTAGAAAGATAAAACGCGAATGACCATTCAGAAATGGTCGAACTTTCAAGATTTCTAAACTTTGCTTTGAAAACATAATAAAGTCGTTTGCTTCGCTCTTTCTACTCTAAGAAAGTTTGATCGATTCCGGAACTATCTCAGCTATTGTATGGTTCATTTTTGAGTAATAAGATCCTGCTCCCAACAGTATTGGTTTTCTCTTTACAAATAAGAAAAATCAGAAAACACTTCCGAATTCGGCCTTTCTTTTACGTTTTCCAGACGAAAAAGTTAGACTTATGTAATATTTATGGAATTTATTGATTATATTTTAGAGAGTCATAAGTCTGAAATATGTTAGACCAGTGCGAAACAACTGTTTATTATATTTCTCACAACAAATAGTTCGAAATTTAAAACAAAAAAATATTGTAATTTCAATTTTTATTTTCATCGCAATTTTTTTAAATGCCTTATAGTAAAACTTAGTATGTAAAGAACTATTTTATTTCCGAATGAGATATTATTTTCCAAGGTGCAAAAAAAAAAACTGTAACCAAAATTAATTTAGATAAAATTTTCACGACAGGGTCTACTGTAAAGATTTCCAGATTAAATTACGGTATAAAATAAGGTCACTTTATTTGCTTTGACCGAAAAATCCTTTTTATCATAAAATTCACTTTTAACGTAAAATATTATACCGTAATTTTTACGATAACATTTATTTAATTACAGTGATTCCGTGATTTTACGGTAATTAATGCAGTAATAATTACGGTTTATCAGATTTTTTTATGTAATATGTTCCGGCAATATGGATTTCAGGGTAAAATGTGCCGGTAGTTTAAATTGTGATTCTTTATGGTGTAATATTATACATACAAAAAATATCATATTAAATAACTCAAGATCTAATGACCAGAACTTTGTAGTCTAAGAAGAACTTTCAATTGCTTCATAGATAGCTTATAAGTTTTTGAAAAAAATTATAATATTTAAATATGCTAAAATTAGCTCCATTGAAGAAATTAATGATAAAACTAAACATAGAAAATTATTTTATACCTCTTTTGTAAAAAAAAACTAATTATTATAATAATTATCTATATTTTTTATTACGAAAGTGCTTTGAAATTATTGCTTCAAATTATTTGAAATAACAACTAAAGGTAAGACATTTACTCTAATAACTAATTATAAATTTAACAGGATGTAAAATACACAATACTTGCAAATGTACATAAGGAGATAAGGTTTCTTGGAATGGAATTTGACAAAATGAGCAAATTTTTGCCAACTCAGATGTAATCAAGTTGGAAAAAATTAGCAAAGTGTGGAATACATTTATAATATTCTCTTAAGCCTTTGAGGTCCATTTTTTGAACTACGATATTTTCGACTAGTTTAATTATTTTTGAAACTAAAATGGTACACTTTAAGTAAAGCAGAAATAAACTAATTTCACGTAACAAATTAATAACTTGGACTGATTTCAGACTTAGTCCGACGTAGAACAGCAAAGGGTTACTTAGTTCTGATGGAAATCACAAGACACAAAAATTTTACTTCTTTGAATTAAAATACCTATTTCCAATGGATTTAAGGTTTTGACAACCGAGATAAGAATGTATTGGGGTAGCTAAAATTTAGGACATGTGGACGATGATATTTCATAAAATCAATCAAGAAGACGCGTCGCTAAAAGTTAGTTTTACATTCACCATTTTTTTTTAACCTGGAACTCATTGCCCGAATAAAAGCGCCTTGAAAATTTAAAAATTACACCTGAGCAAAGTTAATAACTACCAAACATTACAATAGAGAAAAATTGGAATTGCAGGAAAAAATAATATTATTTAAATTTTTCTTTCTTTTTTGTTTCTTATTAATCTACGTTGTTAGAATTTTCATTTTAAAATTATGGTAAAATAAACAGCAGCAGTGTCTGTCTATCCAATTAACCGTAAAGTTCAGGGTAAAATAATATTTTTTACCATTACTTTTCTGAAACCGTTTATAGCTAGTATAGTTAAAAAAAGAGCGTGAATACAGAACTGTAAGGTTTTTTTTACCATTTACAACTAGTATGATTTGAAAACCGCAAAAAGGAAATTTAAAATTAACTAGACATTGAAGATAGTTAAGCAGCTATAAGGTGCTACTATCTATGCATGAATGAAAGCGTCATATTTTAATAGCCAAAGGTTTCGGGGGGTAGGGGAGTGCAGGATACTGGAAACTGTACATGTGTTGAGAGAAATGGAGGAAATATTGTGGTGTCGATGCTGAGACTTGAATGCCAGTTCTTCCGGTCATGAGATTGACAGATATGTACCCATGTGCAAGGAACTAAGTGATTTTATTAGGTGGGTCTAGTTGGTGCGATAGAAGTCTGGTTGTTTAACTGTTTTGGGTCTCACGGTTAACAGTTTTAATACCATTTTATTTATGGCTACTTAACTGTTTTGTTTGATTGTGGAAAAATAACAATTGAATGTTATTTAACCATTTTTTCCTAGAAATTTCTAACAATTAATGTTAGAAAACGTCAGTGATGCTGTTTATTTCGATATAGATCAAAATGCGTGTTTATAAAACGGATACAGCTCAAAATGTGCTTTTAAAAATTAATACAATTAAAAAAGAAAATTTAAGAAAATGGGAAAAGCTCAAAATGTGTATTTAAGAAAATTGACGTAGCTCAAAATTCATTTTTAACAAAAAGGACAAAGCCAAATAACTCTGTATTGTAATGCC